TGCGCCTCAACGAAGAAGGTCGCCAGAGGGGTATCGCGTCTAAGAGATGTTCAGCATCTCGCTGTGGACTGTGTGCCTGCCGGTTCAGCTTGTTCCTGCTTTGTTTTGCTTGAGGCACTTTTTACCTTCTGCCAGTAAATCCTGTGCGTGTTCCTGTTATTCCTCCTGCATGCTCCTGCTGCTTGTTGCTTGATTGCTTGACCCTTAGTCTGCTTGTCTGCGCGGCTTCGCGCTTGGGCTGGCGATGCCGCGTCTGGGTGCCAGCAGTGCTGGTTCTTTTCGGGCTTGTGTTTTGTGTGTGATTGTGCAGCTTCTCGCTGTGCGCTGTGTGCCAGGAGGTTTAGCTTGTTCCTGCTTTATTTTGCTTGAGGCACTTTTTACCTTCTGCCAGTAAATCCATCGAGCCTCCTGCATGCTCCTGCTGCTTGCAAGTTGCTTGATTGCTTGACCCTTAGGCTGCTTGTCTGCGCGGCTTCGCGCTTGGGCTGGCGGTGTCCGGGGTCTGCTGACGGTTGCCAGCAGTGCTGGTTCGTGTTTGTGCAGCTTCTCGCTGTGCGGGTGAGTGCCAGGAGGTTTAGCTTGTTCCTGCTTTGTTTTGCTTGAGGCACTTTTTCCCTTCTGCCAGCGAGAAGCTGCACAATCACACACAAAACACAAGCCCGAAAAGAACCAGCACTGCTGGCACCCAGACGCGGCACCGCCAGCCCAAGCGCGAAGCCGCGCAGACAAGCAGCAGCCGAAGGGCCAAGCGATCAAGCAACAAAGAGCCTGCAAGAGGAATAAAATCCCTTAGACGCGATACCCGGAAGCCTTCCGGGTATCAAACAAACAGCACGGACAAACAAACAAACAAACAGCACGGACAAACGAACAAACAAACAGCACGGACAAACAAACAAACGAACAGCACGGACAAACGAACAAACAAACAGCACGGACAAACAAACAAACGAACAGTACGGACAAACAAACAAACGAACAGCACGGACAAACAAACAAACGAACAGTACGGACAAACAAACAAACGAACAGCACGGACAAACAAACAAACATTCCCTTCAAATTTCAAAGTGTTAGCAAATTTTTTGGATGTGTGAAATCAGATTGGTTACATTTTATAATCAGACGCAATGGGTCGGGCACGCATGTCGCGCCAACGATGATTGTTTCCTGGGGTTGCAACACGCATAAGCCCACAATCAGCTGCGTTGAGAGGCATCGAGACTAGAAGAAATGGAGATAATATGTCCTCCAATGAAAACATTGACTTTCAAGATGTGCCACCTTCCAGTTTACATAAACCCCTGTTCTTGAAGATTCAAAGTTCCTTCCTATCTCAACTTCAGAGTTCGATTGAAGTTCGATGGACAAATAGCACCCTGGGCTTACGGGCTCTTTTAACTCCTGGTTGTTGAATCCGCTATCATGAAGATCACGATGATCTATGCCAGGTTGTTCACAGGTGCGTTTCCGCTTGGCAACAAATAGCAACGCTTAGCAGATGTGATTGTTTACACATCCTCATTGTCATCCCTATTGTGATCAGTAGAGTTTCGATTGTCTTAGGTGAAAATTCAAACCTTGTTGCCAACATGATTCATTTAGGATCCTGACACCTCTGTTTCGATTTGCATGCAACATCATTCTATTTGTTTGCATCTCCTTCTTTTGAAAAGTGTATCTCAGAGTGTTATACGGTCTACTGTGACATCCTCCCGAAGTTCCTCCTGTCCATTGCGTGCTTTGTGTTCTGTGAGCCGCTACTACCAGGACAGTGCTGCTTCAGAGCTGTTGTATACAAGGGACCACAGTAATCACCATCATGGTGAAGCATCTTTTATTTGTTGGCAAATAAACAATCTTCAGAAACTGTTATTACGCAGATTCAAGTTTGCATGACTGATACAGCCTCTGCCTACTCTATATATCGCTTGATCCCTGGTATCACAGCCTAGATGTCAAACATGCAATACTATCTCGGAGTGTGCAAGACACTTTCCTGAAATTGCATGGTTGGAGCAATTGCGAGAAAGGATTTGCAGAGAGAATAAGCATTGCTTCATCAACATCATCGGCAATGCCGCAGTAACACGATGATACGATTCACTGCCGTGATTATCAGCGTAGAAAGGAATCTCATATCGACACGTCTGAAGCAAGCATCTGATACAAACGATTATCTTTTTAAAACTCTGAATATCGCCAACCATATCATGTACCTGCCATTGTCCAATCAGCACATCTACAGTGTTCCCGATGCAACTCACTGGCCATATAGGTTTGTGCCACGAAGGATACCGTAGACCATGAGACAGAGAGAAACACAAGGTAGACACTGTTTCATATGATGTTTTTGCTTACCATCACAGTTTCAAAATACATGCTGAGATCGGCGGTTGCTATGCCATCTTCTGTCCATTCTGAAATTACACTTGAACATTTTGAATGAATCGTCATTGTGCAAGAATTTGAATTTTTTGCTCAGCTTTGACATCATCTTCGGCCTAAGCTAAGTGATCTAAGTGGTCTTAGTGCAATTTGAGGCAGCGTGGTAATGATAGAGATGTTGCATTGGCTTTATGTTGAGGAAGAGATGTTGAGTTCAAATCTCTTGCTACTTCTTGAATTTCACAGAAGAGACCAAGTCATCACAAATAGACAAGTAACCGTATCTTCGTCGGGCCTGCATATCAATGCATGGTTAGATTCGAAGTCTCACATTGTTCATTATCGTCCTTACGCGCGTCAATGGGACAATCTCACCATCTCTTGTTCGTCGAGGGAGGGGGGGGCTGGAGTGGAGACAAATGGGGGGACCCCCTACCCATCATTTTCCCATTTGAAATTGAGAGACTGGGGGGTAGAGGGTGAACCTTGGTCAAATTCGAAACGTTGAACCGTAAAACTCGCAACGCTCGAGAGTGTGACCCACCCTACGCGACAACGAGGTTTGGAATGGAAATAATGGGGTCAAAGGCGTGGCGATTCAAACCCACATCGCGGCCACCCCCCTCGAGTATAACTCTAGCTCAGGTGGGTGCTGTTATCCACATCCCTGGGATGTGGATATCGCCCACCTATCAGCGCCTCACTATGCAGCTGACGCTGCAGGCGCTCTTGTCTGGTGCCGAAGCGCATGACGCCCTTGCGGGCGCAAGCACTTCTCGAGCCCGAGGACAGCTCCTCCTCGGACTTTGTCGAGCTAGTACGGTCGCCCGAGTAGGAGTCTTCGCCGGAGGTCTCCGACTCCCTGAGGCTCATAACCGACGGAATACTCCAAGTTTGTTAGACTTGTACTAGTCCAAAGTCACGAGACTTGTACTAGTCCAAAGTCACGCAGATATCACATCGACCTTAGTTGTAACAAGACAGTTTTTGCTCAAGACCGAGTTTAATGCACACAAAACTTAACCAGAATTGAGGAGCACAGTGAGACTCTCCGATAGCCCAAGCACATGATCAGTCCCGGGCAGACATGAGAGGACCCGGCTTTAGCAAGACGGCTAGGAAAGCCCCCTCTTCGTCACACACGCTAGATTGGCCGCCTCGCCACGTAAGTCGTCTTGGTTTACAGGAGAGTTTTTGTTAACTCGGCGCTATCTGACTGGCACGGCTGGCATACGCCGAAGTTCCATCACTTCATGTCGAGTCAAGACGCGCAAGCCATCTCCAGCTGAGCTCCGCCGCAGGCTTCTTCCTTCAGAGGTCATCTCCGTTTCTCCCGCGGGTTCACTGCCCTTTGTCCGTCCGCGGCCTCTGGGTGGGGCATCGTCGCCTCTGCTTGAGGCACTTGTTACCTTATGCAAGTAAAACTCAGATGTCGAGACCGAGGATCCCCGACTGTATCCGTGACCGTGACGGAGCACAAGTTTGTTAGATCGGACTTATACTAGTCCAAAGTCAAGACCGAGTTTACTGATGCACACAAAGCCAGAATTGAGGAGCCCATGAGAGATAGACTGTATGCTAGGATGTGAAACCCAAGCTACCAGACATGAGGGGACCTTAGTACGTATGAACTTCGGAAGATAGCGCCGGGCAGTCGACTGTCTGCAGTCCAATCCCGTGTTTCGCCGTGTGTTTGCGCCGCGTTTGTTGCTGTGGTCCGTACACCACTTTTGTTGCTGTGTGCTCTATGCCTGTCGGTTTTGCTTGTTGCTGCTTACTCGGCCCGGCATCGGCCGCCCGGCGGCCCGCCGGGCCGGCCGCGGAGCCTCGGACTCTCAGCCGCTGAGCGCGGCCCGACGTTTCCGATGATCCGGCGGGCCGGCGGCGAGAACAGTCTGAGGCGAGCTCAAAACAAGAATTTCAAAAGAGAACGCGTCCAACAAAAATGTTGACGTAGAGAGAGGCGAGGGAAGGGGAGGAGAGGGGAGAAGAGGAGGGGAAGGAGGGGCAGAAAGATTAGGAGAGAGGAAAGGAGAGGAGGGGAAATCAGGGGAGGAGAAGATCATGAAAATCAGTGGAAGAAGCAGGGGCATGGAGTAGGCATAGAGTAGCGATCTCAAGTACAATAGAAGCGGCAGATGAGTTGGATCAACAGAAGAGGCTGAAGGCAGGAAACTTCAGGTGCTAACGATTCTTGATAGGACATCGATGGTCTGTGTGCACGAGGAGTTTAGCTCTCGTCTCCCTTGCGCCTCTTCCTTCCATGCCATCACGATCTCAGCCCATTTCCTTCTCTCCTTCTCTGCAGTTTGTTTGTTTTCTTTCTCCTCATGGCCTCTTCTCGTCCTTCGCAGGCTTCGCTTCCCCGCAAGTCAGGCATCCTTCCAGCTCCCCTCACCAAGCGGAGGAACTCTCCCATGCTTCCCGGCGCTGCTTCCTCACCCAACAAGTCTCGCCTGAGGGACAGCGGGCAGTCCTCCTCCTGTACCTCGCTCTCTCTCACTCGTTCGTCGACAGGATCAGCAGCCCGTCCATAAAATTAAAGGAGGCGAAGAAAAGTCGCCAGCAGGTGCCAGGCGAAGCGAACGAGACTGTCTGATCAGCTCGCAGGAGGGAGTGACAGAGGAGCAGATGCAAGAAATCCGAGAGGGTACATCCCCTCCTCCCTCCTCCCTCCTCCCTCCTCCCTCCTCCCTCCTCCCTCGGTTCTCCTTCTGTTCCCTTCTTCCTTCTTTGTCTCCTTCCACGTCTTTGTCAAAGGCGCTTACCGCTGGTGAAGCTTTCGAGCTCTTCGATGCAGATGGATCAGGCAAAGTTGATGTAAGGTGAGCGGGGAGGGGAGGGAGGGAGGGACATGCAGACAGAGTGCGAAGGAGGGGGAGGGGAAGAGGGAGATGGTGTTCTGACGAGGAGGCAGAGAGCTTAAGATCGCCATGCGAGCTCTGGGGTTCAACGTGAAGAAGGCAGAGGTGAACTGAGCGGCTGTTGCCTCCTCTCATGCCCATTAGGTGCGGGAGATGGTGGCTGAGCTGGGAAAGGACGAGCATGACACTGTTGACTACGACGAGTTCGTGAAGGTGACAAGAGGTCTGAGGCAGCTGGGGATGAGCTGGTGGCAGTTGATGTCGCGCAAGATGGCGACGCGAGACACGCGGGAAGAGATCCTGAAGGTGTTCCAGCTGTTCGACGACGATCGGTCCGGAAGAATCTCCTTCGCCAACCTCAAGCGCGTCGTCGGGTAGGCCGAGGATGGCAGGGGCGGAGGTGAAGAGCTCGCAGGATGGTGGGGGAGCGCATGACGGACGAGGAGATTCAAGAGATGATCGACGAGGTTTTGGCTGCCCCTCTAGTCCTGCGCTGCTGATTGCGAGCAGGCTGACAGAGATGGAGATGGAGAAATAGGAGAGGAAGATTTCTACAGGGTACGAGGGATGCGGAGGAGCAGCCTGGTGATGGTGATGGTGCAGGTCATGAAGAGGAGGGGAGCGAGTGCATTGGATTTGTCATCGGAGGACGAGGATTAGCAAGCGCTGTTGTTCAGCTCTTGAGCTCTTCTTCAGCTCTTGTTATGTCTATCATGTCTGTTGTGCCTTCAAGAGTTTCTCTCCGACAGGTTGTTGAAGCGATGGATGTCCTACCAAACTGTTAGAATCCCCTCCCCCCCCTGCCCCCTCCTTTCCTCCCTCACCTGAATCTTAAACTCCGGCACTGAGAGAGATCCGGGCTTGGGCCTGCGGGTTCTCAGTCATCAGCTGGCCAGCATCGCCAGAGCTCACCAGCGTCCCTGGTCGAGCATGTCCCTGTCTTCCGGCGACACCACCGCATGCTCAGCACCCCAGCAGCCTGAGAGCGAAGTCATGTGCCATGCAAGGAGGGCGGCGAAGAATCCTCTGACCCCGCTTGAGGGTGATGGTATAAGGGATCCCGTCCTGAATCTGTGGCGTGTCAGCCATGGCCAGCTGTTGAGAAGCCTCGGAAGCCTCACCCCATCCTCAATGCGATCGCGAAGGAACTTGATGGTGACACGCGAGCCACGAGGACCTAGAAAAGATGAGGAAGAAGCGAGTCAGTAGATGGGGAAGGGGAGGTAAGAGAGAGCAGGAGGTGGGAGGGAGCAGGATCAGCTTCACCCGCGATCCTCGTCCTGAGGTCATCGAGCGACATCTCGTTGGTGGCTGCCGGTTAGTTAGATCCAGGATCCAATCCAGTGGCTCTCACGGATTCCGTCAACCTCGAGGACGACGTCGCTCTGCGCAAGCATGAGACACAAGCAGCAGAGAGAAGAGAAGGACCTTGCAGATCATCCCGCAGAGATCGGCGGAAGAGCCTGGGAGCCTAAGACGAGTCGACAGAGCAAGTTGCAATACCTGTCAAGATTGATTTCACCCTAAGCGAAGCAGTCGACCCTCCTGCAAGAGACATCGATCAGTGACTTGATCTGCTTGGTAGAAGCTAGTCCCACCGGTGGGAAGCTTCTGCTTGATCTCCTCGATCTCACACCCGATCCCTGCCGCTCTGATCAGTTTCGGCTCATCCTCCGCCTCCTCCTGTGCCCTCGAGTACCGCAAGGGTTGGGCAGCGAGTAGAAGCGGTCAAGCTCGAGCTTGTAGTTGTCTCGCTCCTGTATCAAGCCGCAAGGTGAGGAGAAAGAGGAACAAGATGAAGGACAGAAGAAGGAGCAACCTGAGTAAGGAAGTGAACATCTTCGTTGATGCGACGCTCCAGGTCGGCCAGCTTCTGGGCTCCTAGAATCTGCGGGTCAAGGAGGCATGCCGTTCATGCCTGACAGCACCCGCAAGCTTAAGAGCGTTCATCTCCGTCAGCAGCTGCTCGATCTGAGCAAAACCATGGTGAGGAGAAAAGTGAACAAACAAAATGGAGGAAAGAGAACAAGAGAAAGGCGAGTAGGGAGGGAAGACCTTGTTATGCGCCTCCAAGTATTCACCCCGCATGCGCTTCTCACTAGTTGACGACTCGTCAAGGCAATGATCAACAGGACCGTGACATCACGATACCTTAAGGTCAACCTTGCGACCTCAGCCTTGAGCTCTTCCACCATGTCCTCCACGTTACGCTACATCCTCGTCATCCCCTCCCTACCCGTCCCCTTCTTACCTTCTCCGTCGACAGCGACAGCACCTTGGCTTTCAGCTGGGGAATCGCTCCCACCTGCCCCGCCCATATGTCAACCTTCTAGCACGCGCGAGGGGAGAGGAGCCGCCAGCACCTGAATCTTGAGGTCTGCGAGCTGAGCCTCCAGCTCTTCGATCTTCATCTCTCTCTCACGCAACTTGATCGCTCCGCGTCAGCTGCTGCCAACACACGCTCGCACAAGCTGCTTACTGCATCGCGCGTCTCGGCCAGACTCCTGCTGATGGCGTCAGCTCTCCCCGCTGCTCCTCTCTCGCACTCACTTGACCAGTCCCGTGCATCGCTCGCCCACATCATGCAGCTGCTTCTCCGCTACGGCCGCGGTCGTCAGCTGCTCCCTCCCTCCCTCTCTCATTGCATCACCGATCTGACGGTCTGCTCGCTCGCGCTGGAGCTCGCTGGTCGTGTCCTCGTACTTGGCCTGGAGACGAGCGGGTGAGGAGCGACGAGAGACGCGGACTCACCTTGAGCTCTCCGATGGACTTCTCCAGGATCTGCTCACGATCGCTGACGGAAGGCATCAGCTCAGCCTTCCCCTCTCCTTCTCCTCCTCACCGTAGGGGCTGCAGCTCCATCTCCAGCACGCGACTCGCGCTCTAGCAGCAACACACATGAGCTGCGCTACGTGGAGGGGGCAAGCAGCATCACCTGAGCGTTCTCAGCCTCCACCTTGGCCTTGCTGTTGGACGCAGAGGCGGCACGAGGGTCAAGCGGCAGCGCAGGACGAGGAGGCGAAGTCACCTCAGCAGCTGCTCGAGCTTGGCGAGGTCAGCCTTTTGACGCGAGGTCTCGTCGCGGAGGAAGGTGAGCTCTGTCGCAAGGCTGTCACTACACCGCGAGGCGTCCAGGAGCTCTCGGGTACCAGACTCGAGGGTGCTGCACTTGGCTTCTGTGGAGGCCTGGGAGGGGACGGCACGGTCAGCGGACAACAAGACGGGAGGCGGCAGAGGGCGGGAGGAGCTACGAGCGTCACACACCTGCGAGGACTTTGACTTCTTGACCTCCGCCTGCATCCGACGGCTCGTCAGGTCACCAGCCCCCCGTCGAGCGAGGGTCACCTGGAGCTCAGCGATGACTGCCTTGCGTGACTCTACTTCCGCTTCAGCGCGGGCGAGCTTCTTCTTGCAGTCCTCGAGCTGTCAGGATGAGTGCGGGTGAGGAGAGAAGGAGAGGCGGCGGGCGAGCTGAGACCTGGCTGGTGACCTCGACGAGCTGAGTGGAGGTGGCAGTCAAGGACTTGATCTTCTCGCTAAGCTCGGCCAGCCGTGCCTTGCCATTCTGCGTCAGAATAGTTTTTATGTTTTGAGTTACGAATCTCAAACCTTTAGGGTAGCATTATCATTCTCAAACTCCTTTCGCAGATGAATCTCTTGAATGCTTTCTTGCTTGGACTTCTGCTCTCGCTCTGTTGCAGCACAACACTGTCACCGACTCCTCCTTCCTTCCGCTGACTCTCACCTTCTGCTGTCTTCCGAGCAAGCTCCTCCAGCTGCGCTGCCTTCTTCGCTGCCTGGAATAGCGACGTCAGGTAAGTTCCTTGCCCTGGAGCCCGTACTTCAGCTTCGATCTCGGCCTTCTTTGCGCGTTCTTCGGCTTCCTTGATCTGCCGCAGGAGGACTTCGATCTTGGCCTCAAGGCGCTGTCGACACATCAGAAGGAGAGAGGAAGAGAGAGCAGGGGGGGGGGAGCAGGGGCGATACCTGACAGTCACCCTTGACTCGGTCACGTTCGTCTTCGACGACCTGGAGGAGGCGAGGGTCAGAACATGAAAGAAGGGGGAACGATGTATTGACTGCAGAAGTTCTGGCTGTGAAGTACCTTGATCATGCTCTCAGCCTTTGTTCTTGCAGCGATTTCCTTGCGTAGCTTCTCGTTCAAGCTTGCGATCTCTTCTTCGAGAGAGTGGATCTAAGCATCATTGGTGAGTCTCGTCAACCCAACATGAGCATCACTTTGCGTTCCAAGCCGTCGTACTTCCTCTTCCACGAATAGATCTCCTCATCTCGACCCTAGACAGAGAGCTCAGCAAGGTACGAAGATCAGCAAGGCTCTGCCAGCTCTGCCGGCACCCTCACCTTAATCTCGGCATGAGCTCGTTGCAGCTGGTCATAGAGAGCCCAATAACCCGCCTGGTTGCCTGCCGTCAGGTGAATCTTTCCTGCAGCTTCTCACGTTTCCGCGCTCCAGCTTCATCTTCTCTCTCGATCCGTCGGAATGTTTGACCTCGAAGTTGCAGAACGAGCCGCTGGGGCCCTGCGGGAGAGTCAGGTGGGTACTGAAGGACGCCGAGACAAGAGCCACCATGAAGAGCGCCTTCACTCGATCCTTCGACATCTTCGTCTCTTGAATACTCTCGTTCTCCACAGTAATGATCTCATCACCGGGGCTGAGCTGGCCTGCACATAGACAGCGTGACCGACAATGCAGGATGGCAAGGAAGGTCACCTGAGCGAAAGGCAGTCCCATGTGCGATGATGTCCTTGATAGTGACCACGACTTCGCCTGCCGCTGAGGTCACGGTGAGAGAGAGCTCGTAAGCTCATACCGTCCTTTTCCTCTCTCTCGAAGATGATTCCAACTCCGTGATCTCCTGCTGTCCCGTCAGCTCTGAAATGCCGCAGCATTGCAAGATGTCTACCGTTCAGAGGGTTGACCTTATGGTCAGCCCAGAAATCCACATGGTTCTTGTTGTCATCACCATCATTCTTGACCCACTTGCTCGGATCTGCATGACTAGAGTGAGAGGAGCATCCCTTGAAACTGTTCGCGTGTATGTCTCCGAAGAAGGATCAACTCTACGTCATGATCCGATTCCTCAAGCTACACTACATCAAAGTGTTGGTCTTGTGTGATTCTTCTTTTTCTTCTTCTTCTCGCTCTTCTTCTTCTTCTCTTCTTCTCTTCTTCTCTTGTCTTCTCTTCTTCTTCTTCTTCTTCTTCTCTTGTCTTCTTGTCTTCTCGCTCTTCTCTTCTTCTTCTCTTCTCTTCTTCTCTTCTTTCTCTTCTCGCTCTTCTCTTCTCTTCTTCTCTTCTCGCTCTTCTTCTTCTCTTCTCCTCTTCTCGCTCTTCTTCTTCTTCTTCTCTTATCCTCTTCTTCTCTTTCTTCTCTTCTCGCTCTTCTCTTCTCTTTCTTCTCTTCTCGCTCTTCTTCGCCTCTCACCGTTGTTCCATGTCGCTGACATCGTCGACATTGCCGCGGTCCTCGACTGATAACCCCTACCCTTTCCCCACTCTACCCTACCCCTCAGGATCTCTCATCCCCTCTGTGTACACCCCCACCCCTACCCCCACACAGACCTTGATCAACCCAAGGAATCACTGTCGAAATCCGGACCCCTACCACCCTTCCTCCCAGTCGACATAGCCACCAATATAAAAATTGATCCCCACCCCCACCCCCCTCAACTAGTCAACATCCATTAGTAAAATCTCATCATACTTCACCCTACCCTATCCTCCCCTACCCTACACTTGGACACAAGGACCCCACCTACTATCACAGCATTCTCCGAACCCTCAGTACCCACCCTAGGATACACCGAGACAGTTCCTAGCTGATGCCACCCACCCACCCCCTAACGACCCCTCACTCACTCCTGCACCCCTTGCGTCCTATGAGGCGCAGAGGAGAAGAACACCACCCCACCCCCTGGTGAGCCTCACGACCTTTGGGACATTTCTGGTACCAAGGGGTTCAGTCCAGGACTACCTTCGTCAGGTCATTTGGGGTGGTCAGGAAGGGCAGGGGTCACTAAGTAAGACAAATGGTGGGGTGGGGTGGTCAAAGCGGAGCGACGATGTCG